ATGTTGAAAATATTCTCTCCCGATCTGTTACATTTTTCTAGCTTTCCAAAAATTTCTGAATCCTATTTTAGCGTGCAAAATATTCCTAGCACATAAAAGTTCTTCAAGAAATTAGTTTGCTAACATATTTATTCAGTTCTATATCATTATTTAAATAATTTTAAAACATAAAATCGATTTGATTCATTATACCATGAAAGTGTTTACAAAAGTTGCCTTTTAAAGTTTCTTCTCTTTACTTCAAATGTTTCCTTTTCTATTAAAACATTATCACATATCATCATCATTTTTACCTTTTAAATTATGTCTTTGTGTCTAGGGTGTGGGGGATCAAACCTAGGGCCTCAGACACACTAAGCAAATGCTGTATTACTGAGCCAAAAACCTAGACCTTGCATCTGTTTTTCCATGTAAAAAGATACTCCCCTAAATGAATTTAATTTTAGTAGCTATAGCAGACAGACCCTAAGATGAGCTCCAGGGAGACCTGCTGTCTGGTGCTCATGTGTTTGTGCCATGCCCTTCCATGAGGGTGGGCAGGATCTGTGACTCCCGCCTAACCATGGAATATAGCAAAGGAGATGGGCTGTTGCTCCACCATCACATCACATTGTCCACGACTCCATCAGGCTACTCTCACTCATGCCGCTCTTGCAGAAATAAGCTGCCCCGTCTGACCTATGTACAACAGAGGTCTTCATGGCAGGGAACTGTGGGTGAGCTCTAGAAACTGAAGACCTCGGTAGTGCAACTGTGAGATGATTTTGCTAACAACCAGAATAAGCATTATGGATTGAATAAAAAATGTCGCCTAAAAAGACTCCTGTATTCAGAGGTGGGGCTCCCTTGGAAGGTAATTACAATTTAGTATACTTAACTCATCAGTAGACGACCTCATTGATGAGTTCATAGCAAGTATGCTGATTGGAGGAAGTAGGACACTGGAGGCGTGATTTTGAAGGGTGTATCTTCTCTCTGCTCTTTTCAACCATTTCTTTCTAGCTGCCATAAATTGAATGGCTGTCCTATGCCATACCCCTCTACTCTGGTGTTCCTGCCTTGGAACTAGCTAACCATGGACTGGACCCTGAAACCAGAAGCCAAAGTAAATTATTCCTTATTTAAATTATGTCCCAATCAATGGAAAGGTGACTCATAGAAAAGGGTGATCATACTATACAGTGAATGCTTGAATTTTAAAAAATTTATTACATCAAAGACACATTACCATTAATTCCTCAGAATAGTTCCCCTACCTTCAAAAACACTTAACCCATCACTTTTGCTACTTTCTGAGGTAGTTCTGGAAGTTCTCATTATTGTCTTCCCAAGGCATAATAAAAATATAGTGAATGCTGCTGCCAAGTACCATCCAACAGAAAGGCAGGCTCATAAAAATATTACAGTGTGTCCTCATCACCCTCACTCACCAGATCCGGGACCGCGTGACTTCTGGTTCTTCAGAGTTCAAATGACTATGCAAACATAAATGTTTTAAATGCATTTAAGACATCAGTTCAGCCATGACAGCACCAATAAGACACTCATGACGAAGACTTTCAGAATTACCTCGGAAAGTGGCAAGGGTAATAGTGTGTGTTCAAAGCGTAGGGGAATATTTTGACAGGGATTAATGGCAATGTGTCTTCTACTGTAATAGGTTTTGAAAAAATAAGCATTCACCATATTTCTTACCACATGTTGTACACTGAGGTTGGAAAGACTTTTCTTCAGCCCAGTCTCCAGATAAGAATGCACCCCAGCCAATACATTGTCCATAACATCGCCAGGGTCTTAATAGAGGACCCGCATAAACTATGCTCAGATTCCTGGACCGCATGGGTTTCAAGACAAAGATGTGCGTTGGTTTTTGATGCTAAGTTTATAACAGTGTGTTATGCAGCAATAAATAATTAGTACAGCATCTACATTTAAAATACATCCAGACATCTTTATAGAAAAAATAGTAGGGACCAGAAAACTGGATTATTAGTTCTTTGGTGCTACAAATAATCATAGTAGAGAAAAATATGCTGCACAGCATAATAGTTTATCATACAGGAAATGGTTATGTTTTCCTAGCCTTTATAATGTACTTTTAAGATTTTTTTATTATATTACTAATATAATAGAAGACACAATTAGATAAAAACTAATAGATGGAGCTCTAAAACCCCTGGATATATATTGGATAAATACCTGGCATAATTATTGTGAATATAATTATTGATATTTTACCAGTATAGACACTAAAGCAGATACAGCCACCATACAGGAACCTTCAACCTCATCGTGTTTTGTAGGTTTTCTGACCAAATATGTGACAGTAAGAAGTAAGAAAGAAAAACCTTCTGGTCAATGGAGGAATTTTTAATGCTTCCATCGCCAGCCTCTCTGCTTTTTCTCTAGTGCTTGCAGTGCTAACTTCTGTGATTTGTCTTTCCTTTTTCTTTCACATTCTCCTTGCCTTTATTTCTTCTCTCTCTCTTTTTTTGCTTATCATCTATAAAATCGATATATTGGGATACAACTTTACAACTTAAAAAAAAGTTAAAGAATTTAGCTTTTCACAATCTAATGTCAAATAATGTGGCTAGACTCAATATTTTTCCTGATTCAGCATGAAAAAAAATTTTTTTTTACTGAAAGAGCTGCTTGAAGATAGAGACAAATGACTTTATTTTCCCCGTGCTCTGACAAGTCCCTTGGAACACGTGTTCTGCTGCACGGCCGTGTCCCTTCCAACTTGCTCGAGAACGGCGCACGTGCATTTCAGGCTTTGCAATTTTTGCCTTTTCCAAACCTCACTCGTGTCGATCTCAATGTGAGGCTTCTTTCCTGTGGGAAGGTCAAGCTGGTGACTGTCATACCACTTGACATCTCGATTCTCACCTTTTCCAGCTTGTCTGTGTTTATAAGTGTCAGAATAAATTTCCAGGTCATTTTCCAAACTTCACACGGCACTTTGCACCTTCTATTTGGCATTATTGTTTCTCTGTCTTACCGTTTGTTTTTGGAGGAAGGAATCCCATAATGCCTAGGAACATACTTTGCTGAGAGTACTTCCTGAATAAAAGAATAAGTGGAATGAACATTTACTAGAATTCAGATATCTTAAAGACATTTAATCTAGTGTTCTTGGACTTGAGATTTTAAAGGCTGATGAAATTTGAAAGGAATCATTGCCATTACTTAATAATATCACAAGCATTGTGTATGTCATAAAACAGCATAAAAACAAAATATGGTTTATAAATAATGTTTAAAATATGCAAACAAAATTAAAAGGACATAACGTCAGTATAGAAAGATTGGTCCTTTCTCCAAATGGGTTGATCGACATTAAAATGACCCATGAACTTAACTGTCATTGCTTCTTTCCTTTAGCAGCACATTTCATAACATACTAGCAGTCTATGTGTTTTAGAAATCACAGAGCTAGTCTGATCTTTCACTCCAAAAAAGCGTCCTCTTTAAACACCTTGGACAAGATCTGCTCACTGTGCACCCAGCCTCTGGAAAGCCTGAGTAGAAATATGTGAGAAAGAGGACCACAGCAGATCTCTTTAAAGATATGCCTTCTAACTTTCCAATGCTTAGACAAAGACAGATGCGTAAATTTTTTAAAAAGACTTTTTACTGTGCATGGAAATATATATATTAAAACAAGGTGCTATTGACAGCTGAGATTTTCCTGCATTCTTGGTGATTTCATCTTCCTAGAAACACCTGTGGGATGTTGTTGTCTTAGGTCTTCATCTGGGGAGTATATCTTTTGACTAAGAATGTGATAGTATAGGCTACTCACTGGGCATTTGGAATAAAATGTCAGTGTTTTTGTGATAAGCAAGACGCTTTTAGCTACCTTGTGCACTTTAAGGAATCCATGCTGAAGATAATGTGTATAGAGCATCATGCCTAGCATGTGGGAGGTCTTCAGTAAATGGTAGGTATTCCATCATTCTGAGGTAAGATGAAATAAATAAGCAGAAGTAGAAAGGAGATAAGAAAAATTGTAGTTAGTACACTTAAAAAAAAAAAAAAAAAAAACTCCGGCAGCTTTAGAACACTATCAGATTTACCCAAGTTTGCATGCTTATTTCACCTTCCCAGGCAACTCACTTCTAAATTCCTAAGAATCTTGAAAGATAAAATAAGCCTGTAAAATGGGTGTTGCCTTGCCTTTCACCTGTAAAATGGGCTATTGCCTTTTACTAAAATCTTCCACACTACAGATTTACAAATTCCACAGATGTCCACACCCAAAAGCACATTAATAAATACCTCCAGGCCCCAGGCCTCTCACTCTAGGAGCCTGTGAACTCCCTTCTGAATCTGTGCTTCCTTTTTTCTAATAAGTCTGCTTAAGCCTCTCACTGATGTGTCCTGTAATTCTTTTCCCTAAGGAGCAGAGAACTTGCACTGTAGGTGTGGGTAAGTTGAGGTCTTCATCTCCTGTTGGGTGGGGAAACTTCCTTGGATCCCACTCAGTGTCAGTTTTGCTCCTGTGACCTCGTGTAGTGCACATGAAACTTTGTGAAGTAGCCCCTATTTTCTTCATTTTTACACAAGAGGAAACAAGATGAGAATAAAGAAATGTTTTCCATCAGGTCTCAGAATGAGGATCCATTTCAGTCTTCTGATTTTAGTTTTACTTTATTCCCCTGGACACAGTAGTTTCATGATTTAGAAATATCAATGCTTTATTTTCTTTATTCATAAAATCATAATTTTCTTAATTTTTTTTACCCGTGCATGAAGACCTCTCAGTTTCAGATAATGTAAATTTTTTTCTATGCTATTTTTCAGTACCTCCTTAACAAAATGGCGGAACATATGAAAAAGCTCCTAATGCAAGACATCTTAGCTCTGGGGGAAAAACGTAAAAAATGATTTACCAACCAATCTCCCAACCAACCCCTTTCCCCCTTTTATTACCCTTTTCTCAGCTTTTATTTAATACATCTATAGTGAGCATTGTCATTTCTCTCCATACTTAGGTACCAGGAAGGAAAAATCAGAAGATGAGGCCCCTGGCTTCCAAGACTTCCATTGTATAATAAGAATGATTTCTGTTCAATGAACCAAATGCCAGGAAAGAAATACAATGACATGGAAAGACGCATCTAGAAAGCAGTTGCTTCATTTGGGACAATTTTTACATTTGGAGTGATGTCAGAGATGATCCTGGAAAGAAGAGGGAAAGGGAGGAGAAAAGGTGTCCAGCAGCAGAAAAAAGAAGGAAGGAGAGCTGAGCGTGTCCCACAAGCCTGACCAGGGGCTGCCAGGAGGGACCAGGCTGGGAAGATGGGTAGGGTAGGCTTCCAATGCTGCTGAGTTGGGATTAAGCAATTGGAGGCCATCAAAGGGTTTTGAGTAAGGATGAGGTATAAAAACCACATTTTCTCCTTAAAAATAAAGACCATCCTGGTGTTAGTGTGGAGAATGGATTTAAAAAGGGTGAGAGACTGGAAACTTGGAAGATCACTTAACAGGCAGGCTTTCACAATAGCCTCTTCCCTCCAGGATATAAACCCATCTACCTCCTGGTGAGGTTCAAATTAGGAATAAAAGGGTGAGTACTTTTTTCTTATGACAAACTGAAGATGAAAGTAGAGATGCTTCCCTACAACTAGAGCTTTAATTGAAAAATTTCAAGGGAAGGACATTCTAAAACCTGCAAGTAGTTTAGATTTGATTTTTCAGTCAGATAACTTTTTTTTCTGGGACCTCTTGTAGTCAGACATCTTCATGGACACTTGGGGGAAGATATTTAATAAATGGTATGTGAGAATATCATGAAATTAATCATTCCCTTTGTAATATAAATACCATTTCAAAATGGGCTAGAGAGTGATTGTTTTTATGTAGAAAAAAAGTCTCAGAATTTAAATTTAAATTTTTTAGTTTCAGCTAGAAAGCCTGATGGTTGTCTTTCTCCTCCTTGGTTACACTGAATTTTCTTGTATTTATTTACATCTGCCTCCCAGGCTAAGCCACATAAAAAACACCTACCTCAAATACCTAGGACTAATGGCTTAATTTGACAATTTGTAGATGGTATTCTTATATTACCCTTTAGGACCTTAATAATTAGTTTTTCTTTAGTGTGGTATTAAAGCATTAAAGGTCATAAATTCCACAGTCACCTGTATCCATTTATTGCTAATTTATTATAGAACATATCATAAAACTTTCCTTGACATATAGGCCTCTTCATAACTGTAAATCTTTTTTCAACTGTTTAGATAACTTATGCTTAAGTTCACGAAGAGACCTCTAGGAGCAAATATTTAAAACATCTATTTATTACACATTAAAGGTGCAGGATAGATAACCATGTGAAGTCTCTGTGAAGTATTCATTTACATTCAGCATATTTATCACTTCAAACCCTGATAAAGATAAATTTGTTTTCAAGAGGGAAAAATGTTAAATGTCAAGTTGCTGTTTTACTAAGTGCTTCAAAATGTCCAGCTGAATAAAGCCATCTTTCTAGTTAGTATATAATGCAAAAAAAAATATTTCCGTTGAGATTAAATTTGTCACTAGTAACTTTGGTTAAGCTTAAAAAGTTTTCAAACTTAAAAGTCATCTTCAGACAGCAAATACATTATCTTCTTGAACTGAAAAATTTTTGCCTTCTGTTTCAGCTATGGGGATGATGTGCTTTAAAAAACTCAGTTACTGAGACCATTTATCCAACTGCTTAAACTTCTTTGTGACATATATATGTTTTAAAAAGGGAGAAAAAGCTCAACTTGCTGGAAAACCAATTTGTCAATTGACCAATTTGCTGAAAATCAAATTGTTTCCATTAACTTTGTCTAATATTATCAGTAACCATGATCCATGAGACAGTTGCAGCCCTCTCAGGGAGGTGTTTTTGTCCAAGCTTTTGTTTAGTTTTAGGTTTTCTGCAGCCACAATTTTCAGTTTTCTTAGCCAAATCAGGTTATTGCAGGTTTTACCATCCTCTGACTTCGGGGAATAAAAATGTCTTATATATTTCAAATTACAAATACAATTGTACTGAATGTCTTATTACTTATAAACAAAGGGATACATTTTTCTTTTCAGTGGAATTTTATTTGAGCCTTCTGAACTCTGGATCTATGTTTGGCATCCAACATTGATTTAGATGTTATTGCTCCAAATATTTCTTGTTTCTTTCTATCTTTTCCTTCTGGTATTCTCCTGACACATTTTTACGTCTTTTACACTTGTCTCATAGTCCTTAGATATTCTGTTCCATTTTTCCTGTCTTCTTTCTCTTTGCTTTTCACTTCTGGAAGTTTCACTTTACATATCCTCAAACTCAGAGATCTTCTCCTGTGTCCTGTCTACTAAAGAGTCTGTCAAAGGTATTTTTTGTTTCTGATAGTGTTGTGATCCCAAACATTTATTTTCATTCTTTCTCAGAATTTCCACCCCTCTGCTTACATTACCCATTTGTTCTTGAGTGCCGGCTACTTTCTCCAGTAGAGCCCTTAGCCTAGTGGTCAGACTTGTTTTGAATTCCTAGGCTGGAATTCTAACACTTGCCGTATCTGACTCTGGCTCTAATGCTTGCTTGTTTGGTCTCTTCTAACTGTGTTTATTGCCTCTAGCAGACTTGCAGCTTTTTTGGAAAGAGATGATGTGCTGGGTTAAAGGAAACGAAGTAAACAGGCCTCCAGGAATGTGAGGTAAGGGGTGGTGGCAGGTGAGGACACCTTAGTACTATGGCCAAGCCTCAGGTGTCAGTGAATCTGAGCCTGTGGGCCATGAACTTCACAGTGTTTCTCCGCCTCCCTACTCTCATAGGTGCCATAGAGGGGTGGGAGAAGGATATTTCTTCCCCCTCAAGTGGAAGACCAGCCTGACTAGCATTTCCCTTCACCCAGGTTGACTCGTCCTGGTAAAGGAAGTTTCTCTTGAGGGGCTGCCTTGTTTAGAACAGAATGCATCCATGATGTGATCCTACTGTTACTTCCCGGCTGCCAGGAGCACCAGGGTTTTTTCTCCTCTGATCTTCTCTGTTAGAATCTGGGTACAGCTCCTGGAGGTAAAACCCCAGAAGTGTGAGGTATCCCCATAAGACTAGGCCCCTGGAGTTTCTATTGTTCTTCTCACTCTAACCCCAGCAACTCAGTTTCAACTCCTTTCTGGCCCTAATACTGATTCCTGTGGAGCTTTCTGTTCCTGCATCTCCGCTCCCATTAAGTTCTGATTCTCTGCGTGTACCTGTCTTTCTCTCCAGTTTTGCGGGCAGGAGTGTGTTCCACGACCTCAGTTTTCTCACAGAGTTAAGAGGAGTTGTCGGCTTTGGTTTATTCAGCTTTTTACTTGTAAGGTGGACATGATGGCTTCCATTCTTCCTGCATGCCCCAGAAACTGGAAGTTCCTTCATTGGTTTTCCTGGCCGAATAGTACAACATTTCAGTACATGGATAATATACCGTACTTCATTTATCCTTTTGTCAATTAATAAACATTAGAATTGTTTCTCCCTTTTGGCTGTTTTGAATAATGCTGCTCTAGACATTTCTTTTTTTTTTTTTTTTTTTTTGGTTTTTCTCCGGTACGGGGAACCGAACTCACGACCTTGCGCTTGCCAGGCAGGTGCTTTGCTGCTGAGCTAAATCCTCAGCCCTCTGCTCTAGACATTTCTATATAACTTTCTGCGTGGACATCTGTTTTCATTTCTCTCGAGTGTACACTAGAGTGGAGTTGTGAGGTCATAAGGTCTCTCTACGTAGCTTCAATCACTTGAGGAGCTACCAAACTTTTCCAGGGGCTGGGGATTTAGCTCAGTGGCAAAGCGCCTACCTGGCAAGCGCAAGGTCGTGAGATCAATTCCTGGTACTGGAAGAAAACCAAAAAAAAAAAAAAAAAAAAAGCTCAAACTTTTCCAGAGTGGCTGTACCATTTTACCTTCCTGCCTATGAGTAGTGTAGGAAAGTTCCAATTTCTACACATTCTCATTAACCTTTGTTCCTATCAAACTTTTTGATTCTTCATGTAATTTTAAGAAAATGTTTAACTATAGTAAAAATACAAACAACAGAAAGGTTAACACAGCAACCATTTTAAAGTGTGACGGTTAATAGCGTGAGGTATACTCACATTGGCGCACAGCCAGTCTCCAAAACTCCTTTTGCCTTGCAGCTCTAAGACTCAGACCAATCATCAGTAATTCTCCATTCCCCATGTCCCCAGCCCCAGGCAAACATCATCTTACTCCTGTGTCCATGAATTTGACTACTTAAAGGTAACTTATGCAAGTAAAATCCCTCAGTGCTTGACTTTTTTCTTTTGAAACTTGTTTTTTTTTTTCACTTAGCATAATGTCCTCAACATTCACACATGTTGTAGTATTTTTTAGTATATAATTTCTTTTTAAAGGTCAAGTGGTATTATGTCACTTATCAGTCAATGAGCATGTGGCTTTGCACCCGTATTTTAGCTACTGCGAACAATGTTGCTACAATTATCAGTATACAAAGATCTCTGCAAGATCCCATTTTCAATTCTTTTAGATGTATACCTGGTAGTGAAGTTGCTTGATTGTATGATAATTCCATCTTTAAAAAAATTTTATGAGGACTCAACACTGTTCTCTAGAGCAGCTGTACCATTCAATATTCTTAGCAGTAGTACACAAGGATTGTAATTTCTCCACATTGCCAAAACTGGTTATTTTTCCTTTATTCTGACAATAGCCATTCGAATGGTTATGAAGGAGCATTTTAGTGTGGTTTTGGTTTGTATTTTCTTAATGGCTGTCGAGGTTGATCTCACTTTCGTATCTTGAAGTCTGGGATATTTTAACCATAAAACAAGTTTCAGTGAGACTATCAGAATCTTTAGCAAAGACCTAGTTCCTACACAGGGCAGAATCTGTGCTAAGTGGCCTAAATTAACCAGGATAGTAATAGGCTTCCTTCGGTGGGTAAGGCCACGTTAGCCCTGGGAACATTTAGAATTAAGTACAGAGAGGATTGTGATAATTAAAATAGAACTACTAATAGTTGAGGTTTAAGAAGGAAGCTGTTTAGATTTGTTATTTTCTTAATTTATTCTATTAAAATGAGTCTTGTAACTTCAGTTGAAAATGTAGAGTTATGTGATTTTTTTTTTTTTACTAGGGTGGCCAATTTGTCCTGATTTGCTCAGCATCATTTTTATTTTAAAAATCAAACCTCCTGGCTCCCAGACAACCTGCAGTGCGAAATGGTTTGTTTATTTATTTATTTATTTATTTATCTATTTATTTATTTGACAGGGTCTGGAGGTGTAGTTTAGGCTGGCCTTGAACTCACTATGTAGCACAAGGTGGCCTCCAACTCACGGCAGCAATCTTTCTGCCTCAGCCCCTGCAGTGTAGAGCTACAGGTGTGTACCACACACTTTTAAGCTCTACCCACACCCAGCTTGTTAGTTTTATTTAGACCTCAAATTTTAAATTGAGATCTTACTGAATAAAATCCAAATAATATAGAACCATTTAAGATAACTTCAGGGGGCTGGGGATTTAGCTCAGCGGCAAAAGCGCCTGCCTGGCAAGCGCAAGGTCGTGAGTTCGGTTCCCGGTACCGGAGAAAAACCAAAACCAAAAAAAAAAAAAAAAACAAAACAAAACAAATAAGATAACTTCAATATCACTGTATCTTTAACTTTATGCCAGATATATGAAAGATACTTAAATTTATGCTAGTGTTTCTATAATTTAAATCGTTAAAATACTTGAAATAAAAATACAGAATATTACGTTTATAAGCAAAGTTTAAATGTTTGACAGTATTAACTAATGAAACCAAACATTCATTACCAAAAGCCTTAATAAAAGCAAGTATTAACATTCACTATCTTTTTAAAAAAAATAATTTCATGGGTACATTTTGTATATACGTACTGGTCACATTCATCATAGTTAACTTGTACCTGTACATAATATATCTTGATTCTTCTTTTTTTCCCTGTTCCCCTCCTCTTCCTTCAACCCTTCCCTTCCTTTTGCCTATGAATAACTCAAATGTATCCTTCCTTTTGGCAGAGTAGTACTCCTTCGTGTATAAGTAACACATTTTCTTTATCCATTCATTTGTTGATAAGCATATAGGCTGTTTCCAATATTTAGCTATTTTGAATTATGAAGTTACATTTCCACCAACAATGTAAAGGGTTCCTTCCCTCCCCACTGCCCTGTAGCCTTGCCAGGATTTGTTGTTATTTCTTTTCTGGATACCATTCTTTTTGGAGTCAGATGGAATGTCAGTGTTGTTTTAATTTGCATTTCTCTAATAGCCCTTTGCTGT